AGATCTGCTTCTTTTTGTAAACTTTATGTGCCTTTGTGGTTTACTTGTTGGGCATGAAAAGCTGGTTGGTCTAGGCTTCAGGTTCTCTCTTTTGGTTTTATATTGGAGTGGCCTAATTGCTTTTGTCTTCATGAGTTCTCAAGTGAGGCCCAAGTGAGATGAGGCTCAGATGATATCAGGCTTTCTCCTAAGGTATGGGTCCCTCCTGGAAAGATGCTGCCCTCAAGAATTTGGGGGCTAGGCTGGCCAGGATAGATGCTGGTCTCAGGAAGCTGGTGGCTCTGCCACCCAGGGAAGTAAAGGGAGGTGAGGTTGGACCAGGCCTAGGGGATTCCTGGGGGCCCACAGGGAGGAACTGGGTAGGTCCAGATGCAAAGGACCAGGAAGCAGTGGTGTCTCTGGGCCGGGAGGTTAATCCCGGTGTCTGGGGTGCCAAGACAAGAAATAGGCCTGTACCCAGCCTAGGAGGAGAGACTCGGTGGGGGAGCTGGGAGCATGAAAGAGGCTGGGGGAGTCAAGGCGCACTAAGCATGCTGGACTTAACCAGGGAAGGTGCTGGTACCAGGACACAGGAGACTGTGCAACCCAGGAAGCAAAGGGATATGAGAGCAGGACCTGGTCCAGAGGGCTCCTGGGGACCAGGAAAGGTGCTGGCACCAGGCTGCCTAAAGGCTGTCTTCAAGACCTTTTAAATTGTTCTATTGTTCTCTCTCTCTCTCTCTCTCTCTCTCTCTCTCTCTCTCTCTCTCTCTCTCTCTCCTCTCTTTGCTTTATGTGCTAGTTGAAGAAATCAGTTACATATACTACAAAGTTTCATACGATCTGAATTTCCCAGGCTGTAACCCCTGGCATGGCTCAATGGGTTTCTCTGGCCTCTGTGTTTTCTCTCATTTGGCTTCTGGGTCCTCCTTTGCTGGCAAGACTACTTCACAGATGGTGCTGTGCTCCTTCACAAGGAGACTCGTGCATGTCTGCTTGCTCCACGTTGCAATGTTCAGCATCCAGAATGGTTCATTCATTAGGGTTGCACAATGGTGATAGTTAAATTCAGTGGTTCCCTCTTCATTTATCAGCTGAACTACTCCTTCCTCCCTTCACCCCCACCTTCTTTCTTTCTCTCAACAGGTTCTTGTTATGTAGCCCAGGCTGACTTATAACTCATGATGCTCTGGCCTCAGCATTCCAGGTGCTGGGATTAAAGACACACCATGTGCCCCATTTATTAGCTGGATTATTTCTATAAAAACAAATTTCCTTTCATTGAATGTGCAGACGTCCCACAGACAGTGGCCCACACCTTTAATCCCAGCACTCAAGAGGCAGAGGCAAGCAGACCACTGTGAGTTCAAGGCCAGCCTGGTCAAATAGCGAGTTCCAGGCCAGCTAGGGCTACAAGGAGACCCTGTCTCAATAAGACCAAAAAAAAAAAGTATAGGCTATATGACGAATTGTTTTCTTTTATTTACCAAAATGATGAATAGCTCTCAATGCAATGTGGTAGTTTTTAAAGTACCATTATTAACCCATTGATGGAAATCATCCTCTTAAAAGTATGATAGAATAAGCCATAAAATGTACCATCACTCTGATACAGTCCTTAGCATTTCCCCATCACCAACATCACAGAGTCTCCTGCCCCCCAGGCTATGCCTCTGCTGAGCCAGTGCTCAGCATCTGCCCTCTGCCCACCTCATGGAGCACCACAGCCATGTCTAGGGCCATCTCTTGAAATGCTGGGCATGGTGGTACAGAGGGCTGTGTCAGAGTAATGGTACATTTTATGTTTCCTCTCTTGAAATGCTGGGCATGGTGCAGAGTCATGATTGGTTGCTGGCAGAGGGAGCTGTCAGGACTGCAGGCAGACCAGTGTAAGTCCTGGGAACGAGAAGGCAGGAGCAGTGCTCAGGTCCGAGAACAAAGACTAGGCATTTGGGCCGTCCATGATGGAAATCAAGAGTGCTATTTTGACCACATTGTCACTGAGAAGACAAGTTGCAATTCAAGCAGGGCTGCCAAAGAGGCATCTGAATCCAGGAGTGTGATGCTAGGAGACAGAGAACAGGCTGAAGGATAGCACGAGGAAAGACTGGAACTGTGTGCTTTTTCCTTCTTTTCTGCCTTAATCAGTTGGTAAAACGGATCAGAGTCTGGAACGTGTGTGTGATGGTGCACACTTGTAACCCCAGCATTCGGGGGACTGGGGCAAGAGGCTGAGATCAAAGCAAGCCTGGGCTACAAAGTGAGCCGGAGGCCAGCCTGGACCACATGATATGACCCTGTCTCAAAATGGGGGGTGGGGGGGAAGGCCTGGAGAGATAGCTCAGCCATTAAGAGCGCAGGCTGTTCTTACAGAGGACCTGGGTTCAGTTCCCAGCACTCACGTGAAGCCTAACAACCACTATGACTGCAGTTTTGGGACATCGATGTCCTCTTCTGGCCTCTAAGAGCATTGGAAGGGCATGGCGCACTTACACAGACGCAGGCAAACCACTGATACATGATACATGGATGGATGGATGGGTGGGTGGATGGATGGGTGGATGGGTGGATGGGTGGGTGGGTGGATGGATGGATGGGTGGATGGGTGGGTGGATGGGTGGATGGATGGGTGGATGTCGGCTGGATGGGTAATTTTTTTAAAGAATGTGAGTGAAAGAAATCACTAGAAAAACGACTGATAGTTAATTGACGAGCCTTCACTTAAACCAGGTTATACTACCCAGAAATTTTCGACGGCTAGAAATTTTCGAGGGCAGAGAGGAAGCCGAGGCGGGGCGGGGCGACCACGGCCCTGCACCTAAGCTCGCTTGGCGTCGGGCAGGGACGAGTCACAAGGGGAACTGCAAACATGATGCGGAGGACGCCGGAACCTCTGGGCCGAGAGAGTGTGTTTCCGGAGGGAGCTTGAGCGTGGAGGCCGGATGGAGGCGCTAAAGAAGCGGGCTTCCGGTGTGTGCTTCATTAGCCGGGTTTGGGCGGTTTGGAACTGCGGCGGCCATGCGCCAGAAACATTACCTTGAAGCTGCGCGGGCGCCGAGGTGCGCTCCTGGCCTGCCCCTGCTCACGCTCTCTCTCTTGCAGCTGGGCCTACAGCTCGTCTCACGGTAAGGAGAACGCCGGCCGCGGTGGGCACGGCCCAGGTCGTCTCGTTCTACTCGGTTCCGCACGGTGCTCTGAAAGGGAAGGCCTCTCGTTTGTAAGCTACAGGCTTGGCAGTGGGAGAAGAATCCAGATGCCTTGTCTTGACCTGTCATTGGCATTTGGCATGCATCAGTCTTTGAAAATTATTCATTTAGCATTTACTTATTAGTTGCTGTGTGTCTGTGTGTAGCTTATTTCCTGTCGCTGTGTGGGGTTTTGCGGATCAAACTGGGGTCGTCCTACTTGGCAGCAAGCACCTCTACCCTCAGAGCCATCTGCCTAGCCCCACGCGTGTCAGTGTTATGGAAGTTCCCACCGGGCTTGCAGATCATCGAGTGGTTCATCTACCTCTTGCTCCACTTCGTCCGAGTGCTTTTTCTCCTGATCCTCTAACCTCCAAATAATGTGATGTTCCAGGACTCTGTCCTCAGACCCTTTTCCAAGCTACACTCCTTGGCTGTCAATTTTCCATCCATTCTCTGGCTTAATATACAGACCTTCCAAATTCCAGCCTAGACCTCGCCTCCAAATTCTAGACTCATAATCTGAATGCTTTCTTGACTTCTTTTGAAAGACTAGTTCTTCCCCTTTTGTAAACAGTCCCCGTCCTTACCCTGGGGCCTTCTGGATTCCCTAAGAGCCGCTCCCCTCCTTGGCCTCCAAGCCACAATGCCAGATCACAGTTGGCTTTAAAGTTCCTCACAAACCAGGGCACTTTTCCTACATCCACTGCATGCAACCTGGTCCAAGCCATCTATGCATCCCTCCTGGGTCACAGCCAACAGCTGGAGGCATTCCTGCACTCTGTTTCCAACTCAGCAAGCTGCCAGTGATCCTGGTTTTTTTAGAAAGCGAGGCTAGAGCATGCATCTTTTGTCATGAATTGCTTCCTCTTTCACAGGACTGTGCAGGGTGGACTGCATAGCCTCTCTGATACTGTTCCCATTCCTTCACTCAGCTCCTGGCCTGCTGCCTTATCCTGCCTGGAACTCTTAATCTCACACGGCTGTTTTCACTCTCCCTGAAAATGTCACTTGTTGCTTAAGGCTTCCCTAGCCTCCCTATTTAAACTACAATAGCTCCATCACCCTCTGATCCCATCTTAATTTTTTCTTCCCAGCATTTAACATTTGCTGTTGTACCACATCTGTCCAACAAATGGTCGTCCTTTATTCACTGCTGTGTCTCCAACACTTAGGTCAGGCCAGACCATAGTCATTCAGTAAATAGGAGTGATTTTTTACATTTGGCAGAGCCAAATTACATACAAACTGTCTGCTCTGTGGTAGTGCTGTTTTCTGTTTTTCTTTATTTTATGTGTATGTGTGTACTGCGGGCATGTATGCAAGTGCACCTATATTGTGCAATGCCCATGGACAGAAAAGGGCGTGGGATCCCTGGAACTGGAATTATGGTTGTTAGCTGCCATGTGGGTGCTAGGATATGAACCTGGGTCTTCTGCAAGAACAGCCAGTGCTCTTATCCACTGAGCCATCCCTCCAGCCCCATAGTGCTTCCTTTAGAACTTAGCATAATGTTCAACACTTGGTACTCAGTACGTTTTGGTTGTGTTGATTACAAGAGGCAGGATGGAGAGAGGAAAGAAAACTCCAGTGCGATTTGTACTGTGGTAAATGTGTCAAGAAATGGCTGAAACATAGTAGCCTTCATTTAAACTTAGTAACAAATGAGCAAGGTAGCAAAGGTTGGAGACCTGCCTCTGTTGAAGGAATGAATGGATGAAATTATGATTCTGTAAAATAAGCTATTGCCAGTTTATGTTTATGAATTTTTATATCTGGAGTTTGTCTCAAGAGAATGTATATATCTGCTGATGCTATCAATGTATTCCTATTTATGCTGTCAGCTGTTTGATAACACGATTTGCATTTCATTTTTATAATTTTAGATGAGAACAGCACTTTTGAAGAAGCGTGTCCATACTGTTTCCAGTTGTTGGTTCTGGATAACTCTAGAGTACGTCTGAAACCCAAGACCAAAATAACACCCAAAATACAAAAGCTTCTTAATCGAGAAGCAAGAAATTATACACTCAGTTTTAAAGAAGCAAAAATTGTGAAAAAGTACAAAGAATCCAAAAGCGTATTGGTAAGATTTCAGTTCCAGTATACATGATTGAACTGTAATTTCAAAGTTAAGAATCAGTCTAACAATGATTCAAATTTATAGCAGTATATGTGGGTCTTAGTGCTTCATCAAGGGTACAGTAGATCTGTGTGTGTTATAACTACCCAGACATGGCAAACTCCTGTTCTTCTCACTGTTAAACACAGTTACTCTCAGATCTGAGGACTGGGTCCAGCTGCCCTGCAGTCCTCACCACATCGTTTCCAGTTATTGACACTTCATACGCAGCTGGTGTGTGGGGATTAGTGTCACTGCTTCAGTGTGTAGTTACTTGCACCCAGCAAAGGGGGGAGCATCTTGTATTCATTCTAAAGCATTTGTTGAGCATCTGTTATATGCCACACAGTTCTTAGTATTGAGGATCCAAAGTGGAATAAAACAAATTACTTATGACTTATGAGTTGGAGGCCAATATCAGGTATATTTTATATCATGTATACTCTGTGCCAACATTGTTGACTTATTCAGGTACATGTAGAGGCTCTCCTGGGTACTGAGCATTATGATAGCTTAGGCCTGGCCCAAGACAGGGTCTTGCTATGTAGCCTAAGGTAACCTCAAACTTGTGATCCCCCTGCCTCTGGAGAATTCCATCTGTCAAAAAAAACATACTACTGCCACATACTTGGAAAATGTTCCTAATAGATAAAAGCTTCTGATGGTTTTGTTTTTATTTTACTTTGTCTTCTTGAGACAGGGTCTCCCTGTAGTCCCAGCTGGTTTGGAACTTACTATGTAGACCAGGCTTGCCTCAGTCTCACAGAGATCTGCCTGTCTGCCTACCCAGTGCTAGGATTAAAGGTGCGCACACCATGCCTGGCCCTCTGATGTATTTTAATCAGAGATCACCTAGAAAGGTGCTGGGGATGTTTGCTCTAACTGTATAAGCTTCTTTCCAAAAACTTTTAAGGCAAACAGGCCTTTAACATATGGTCTTCCATTTGCATTTGTTTGTGCGTCAACATTTGAGTATCTCTCACCTAAGCAGTCTGTAAATCCTGCTGAGGTGATGGGCTGGATTCTGTGTACTGTAAATTAGACACTTAGAAAAGGCACTTAGCTAAAAAATGAACCAGGTCTTAAGGATTAATCCTACAAAGAAAGTTAATTTCTGGAAATTAAAAGGTGTGAGACCATGAGAACTCATTTGGTTTTATTATTTACAGAATCACTAAAGATTTGAAGGAACTAATCAAAATTCCAGTGATATTCTGCTATTTTTATTGTGAAAATTAACCAGCAAATTCACCAGTAAAAAAGTAATAATAAATTGGGTGCTGCAGAGCTGGCTCAGCAGTTAAAGAGCACACAATGCTTTGCAGAGAACCTGGGTTCAATTCCCAGCACCTACATGATGGTTACTGTCAGTAAAGGCTCCACGGCCCTTTTCTGGCCTCTGCAGGCATTTCATGCAAGTGATGCACTTCTATACATGCAGACTAAACACTATACACATAAAATAGAAATAAATATTTTAAAAGATAATCTCTACTTCTGTTAACAAAGAACACCCAACATTAAATAGTGTGTTTCCTACCCAGTTTCCCCAAAAGTTTTATATTGAGAAAGTAGAGTCCATTATCTTTTGTGAAAAGTCTTTTAAATATGCTTAACCAATATCTTCTTACTGAAATTTTTCTTATTTTTAGTTGGCCTTGTCTGACTCTTCCTAGACTGCAAGCTCCCAGGGGACAGCCTGTTAACTTGCCTCTGTAGCCCTGTTACATAAGAATTCAGGAACTGTGGTTTACTGGGGTCAGCTGCCAGACAACTCATGGGACCATACTTTTCTCTGTGGCAGCTGATTACTTGTAAAACATGCAACAGGACAGTGAGACATCAGGGTAAAAGTAGAAGCTTCCTGTCAGCACTGAAGAGCACTCCTGGCACTCCTGCAGATAAACTCAGCCCAAAGACACCAAGGAGAAAGACTGCAGGTACCACAAACTTAAGGCATGACATGTCTGGTTCCAAAGGCAAGAGCCCGGCCTCGATTCTCAGGTATCTTCATTTGTCAGCTGTTTTGAAGTTTCATTTGTTGTAGTTTCTCTTGTTTAATATACACTTCTGCCTTGGCCCTTTTTTTCTTCCATTCTCCTTGGTTGTCTGATATTAACCATGTTTGGTCCTCTTATATCAGTGCCTTCCAAATAGAACTACGTCAGTCTCTCCGGTGCATATTCCCAACCCCCATCAACGTACCCACGGCTAACCTCGAGAGTCTTCCCACCTCTACATTCTGTAACTGAACAGACATGCCCTTCTATGTGTTTTCTCCTGGAAAGGCAGATCAGTTGTGAGCCTTGACACCTTAGTCCTCATTGCTGGTTTCTGTCTGTGCTGCCTGCCGAGTCAGATCCTTAAGACCTTTTGTCAGGACTGAAGTTTCTCAGGAAGATCTTACTAAGGCTTGACTCTGATCAGCAGCCTTTCGTGTCTGGCTGCATGTGGGTCAGATGCTTGCATGTATCCCAGCCCTCCCAAACTTGTACCTGTCTGCCCATTCACTGCTTCACCTTACCCCATGTGCCACCCACAATATGTTTTTCTGCTCCAAACCTTTGTTACTGTTTCCTCTATCACAAGTTCTTCTAGAAATCTATCCAATGACACCAAGTTTTTCTTTTAGGAATCCTCAGTACTTTAGTCATTATGTTCAAATTTAGTTCCATACAAACTATATGAGAGATTTTAGAACATTTTGTACAAAAGAAACTAACTGTAAAACAATTTACTTGCCTTTGGGGAGCTGGGGAGACAGTTCAAGCATAAGGACCTGAGTTTGGGTCCCACCACACACATAAAAGTTCATACTGATGGGGAAAGGCTTAGTCCATGGATGTTTATAGAGCATGTCGCTTATACCTAGCATGATCTAAAAACACCAGAATGTAGGCCTGGTGGGCTCACACCTGTCCTGTGGTGGAATAGTACCCTTCTCTATACTGAAGCCTTTCACTTGGGAGAATGAAGTGATCTGCAGCTATGAAGGACTTTTTTTTTTTTTGGTCTTTTGGAGACAGGGTCTCCCTGTATCCCCCGCTGTCCTGGAACTCACTATGTAGACCAGGCTGGCCTTGAACTGACAGAGATCCGCCTGCCTCTGCTTCCCAAGTGCTGGGATAAGTCCCCGCTTAGAACTATTATGAATCTTGATGTCAAGTTTAAAAAGAACTCAGAGGAGCTGGAGAGATGCTCAGTGATTAGGGACACTGGCTGTGCTTGCAGAGAACCCAGGTCCTAGCACCCACATGGCAGCTAACAACCATCTGTAACTCTAGTTCCAGGGGATCTGATGCTCTCTTCTGACCTCTGTGGGCATTGCCTGACACGGGTGCACTTACACACATGCAGGCATTACACTTATACACATAAAAATAAAACCTAAAAAAAAAAAAAAAAAAAAAAAAAACCTCAGACCTGATAACATTCTGCTTCTGAGTGTATCTTCCAGATACCTTAGGAACGTCTAGAGTCCTCCAGTATACCTCCTAAATGGTGCCATAGCCTGAAATTCCATGCGTTTTTGTTGCTTTGTTATTGTTAATGAGAATTACTGTACTGAGTACAGCTAATGCCCATACACAGCTAGAGTGCAGTGTGCTGTAATGTAGAATATTACCCACATAGTGAGTGCACTGGGTGGTGTGTGCAGAGTGGGTAGCAATTACCTAAGCAAGATTTGTCACTGTGGTTAACAGTGGTCTATTTGTCCTCTTTTGTCTTTACAGAACACCTATATCTGGGCAGTCAACACCCATTTGCTCCTTAAGGACTGGGAGCAAAAGAAAGAAACACTTCTCCCAACTAAAAATGTTGCTTAGTCAGAACGAAGCTGAAAAGAATATGAAGGTGGACTTCAGAAATTTCTTATCTTCTCTATGAAGAGAGTGGACATTAAAAATAAGAATTGTCGTGGTGGCGCACGCCTTTAATCCCAGCACTTGGGAGGCTGAGGCAGGCGGATCTCTGAGTTCAAGGCCAGCCTGGTCTACATAGTGAGTTCCAGGACAGCTGGGGCTACAGGGAGACCCTGTCTCAAAAAGACAAAAAAGAATTGTCTAGTGGAATTTTTGAAACTAAGTAAACAGCTTTTTTCCTTGCTTTTTGTATTATTTGAATATATGGAAACTAGGTCCAATAGCAAACTTTTCTTGGAATCTTTAGGTGTTAATGGGGAAAATTCCTCATTAAAATGAGTGGCTGGGGCTGGAGAGATGGCTCAGCGGTTAAGAGCACTGACTGCTCTTGCAGAGGACCTGGGTTTGATTCCCAGCACCCACATGACAGCTACGAACCTTAACTCCAGTTCCAGGGGAATCTGACTGCTCTTACAGAGGACCTAGGTTCGATTCCCAGCACCCACATGACAGCTACGAACCTTAACTCCAGTTCCAGGGGAATCTGAAGCCCTCTTCTGACCTCCACGGCATTGCACGACATGGGTGCACTCACATACATGCAGGTAATATACACATAAAATAAATATTTTTTTAAGAAATGCTTTCAGAACATCAACAAGCTACAGTGCCGACAGGAGCGATAACTAGCAGACCTCCTGCCCGGAGGAGGGGAACAGATGCCCAGGTAGTCTCTCTGCAGGTGTGAACGCTGTAGGCTTACCTGTTCCGAGCATGGGCTCTTCCCTGCTCTTCTTATTTTTGTTCTCTTGTCACATTTAACTACAAAGTCTGGATCACTGTAGCTGTATTATAAATCTTTAAACGAGTTCAAGGCCAGCCTGATCTACACAGTGAGTTCCAGGCCAGCTGGGACTACAGGGAGACCCTGTCTGGATGGCTAGCAGGTAAAGGCAATCGCCACCAAGCCTCATTTCCTGATTTTGATCTCTGGGACCCACATGGTGGAAGGAGAAGAACCAAGTCCTGAAAGTTGTCCTCTGACCACCGCACTTGCACTGTGGCATGTGCACACCCACACACTAAATAAATGTAATAAAGGGTTTAAAGTAATTAATATAATGCAGGGCTGGAGAGATGGCTCAGTGCTTAAGAGCACTGACTACTCTTGCAGAGGACCTGGGTTCGATTTCCAGCACCCACATGGCGGCTACAACCGTCCTTAACTCCAGTTCCCGGGGAATCCAAAGTCCGCTTCTGGCCTCCGCAGCATTGCACAACACGGGTGCACTCACATGCAGGCAATTCACTCACACATAAAATTAAAAAAAAAAATGTTTTTTTAAAAAAACTTCATAATGAAAACACTTTCCCTAAATTGTAAGACATTTCTTTAAATATTTCTTGTAAGTGGTATTCTATGACATATACTACTCTGTGATTTTAAGTACTATATCATATGACTAAAACTGTTGGTTAAGAGAAAGTGTTAATGAACCAATAAGCTCAGTCACTACAGTTAGCTTTCTGTTGGTTTATAGTGTGGAAATTATACCCACCAGAAAAAAGATGGTGTGTTATGCTACTGATTTAGAATTTTACTGCCACTACAATTGCTCTGCTCTGTTCTTGGGTATCAGAGAAAGCAAAGAGACAGGAACTAGACGCTGCAGTCTTCCTGAGTGCTAGCCAAGGCATGAAGAGACTAGCAGCTCAAACAGGAGGATGCTGGGCATCAATATTTGCCGCTAGCTTGGGCATCCTCAGCATTAGCTAGGTGAGGATCCACGGGACTGCACACCAAGCTCACCTGAGGTCTTAGGACACGCCAGCTCAAAATAGGATGAAAAGAGTTTAACTTCCCATCTGCAACATACAGCTTAAACCGCGACACCATGGCCAACACGTCAGTTCCCTTATTTATGGCAGCACAGTGGGGTCACACAAAGCAAGCATTGTGAGCAGTCCTACAGCCTGGTGTCTGAAGATTTAGCTGGTGTGCTGCACACCTGTAATTCCAGCACTCAGGAGGCTGAAGCAGAAGGATGGGAAGTTCAAGGCCAGCCTGAACTGTACGGTAAGATTGCACCGACAAATGAAGATCACTTATACACAACCAATGAATACTATTATTTTGAAAATGCCATATATTAATGGCTAGTTCTGAAATCCTCAATTGTACTTTTGTTAGTAAGGTGAAGTTTAATTCACCAAACAAAAAAGCTTGGATTTAAAGATAAGGTTGAAGATGAGGGTGTAGCTTGGTGGTAGAGAGTGACTACCATGCCCAGGGCCCTGGGTTCCATCCCCAGCACCACATGCACAGGAAGATAAAATTTAATTAACTGGATATAACTAAACATTTCTAGACATACATGAAAGAGCTAATGGTCTAAATCAAATAATTATTTAAATTCATTAAAATTTCCACTTTTGTACTCTTTCCATGAACGTAATCCAAATACATTTCTAAAATTAACTGCATATCCCATTTTAGTGATCTCTTTGGATCAGTAATGCTTAGAATGTTCAGGGGCTGGAGAGAGGGCTCCAGTTAAAGAGTGTGTACTGCTCTTGCAGAGGACCTGAGTTGGGTTCCCAACACATGTCTGGCAGCTCACAACAGCCTGTGTGTCCAGCTCCAAGGGATAGGATGCCTCTGACTTCGTGTGCCCATAACCCCCACTACACACACACACATACACATAAAAATAAATCTATTTTAAAAGAACAATGTTCACCATAATTACCTAGAGGACTCATTTAAAAGGTACATACCTGTAACTTTCCATTATCTGACTAAATCTGGGCCCAATATTTTGTACTTGTAACAAGTTCCCAACCTAAGCTAATGGTTCTGGTCTAACAAGAACACCACTGGCTTAGAGAAATATGCTATTTTGAAAATAAAGGTCTCACCAGGCATGGTGGCATATGCCTTTAATCCCAGCACTTGGGAGGCAGAAGCAGGAGGATCTCCGTGAGATAGAGACCAGCCTGGTCTACATAGGGAGTTTCAGGCCAGCTGGAACTACAGGGAGACCCTGTCTCTAAAAATAAAATAAAGGTCTCAGGCTGAAGAGATGGGTGAGTGTTTAAGAGTGTGTACTACTCTTGTGGAAGACCCAAGTTTGATTCCAGCAACTACATTGGGTGCCCCACAGCCACCTATAACTCTAGCTCCAGAGTATCTGATGCCTCTGGCCTCTGCAGGCATCTGCACTCACACGCACAGACATACACAAACACACATATAAATTAAATATTTAAAAAAAAATAAAGTTCAGGAAATTATACTATTCCGTCCCACTAGATTTTAAACATTTTGAGAACACACGTGCAGTTGAGTAGTATCTTCGCATCCTCAGAAGGCCTAAGACAATGCCCTCAGTTAAATGTCTCAAACATCAGTGACTTGGGGCTGGAGAGATGGCTCAGCAGTTAAGAGCACTGGCTGCTCTTGCAGAGGTCCAGGGTTCAATTCCCAGCACCCACATGGCAGCTAACCACTGACCATAACTCCAGTTCCAGGGGAATCCAGTGTTCTCTTCTGACCTCGGTGGGCACTGAACGACACAGGTGCACCTACCTACATGCAGGCAGTACACTCACACACAAAATATTTTTTAGAACAGTGTTTCATCAGTGGCTCCTGGCAGGGTGCTCACCTGTAATCCCAGAACTTGGGAAGCTGAGGCAGTATTGCTGTACAATAAGACCTTATCACATGAAAAAGTTAATTTGCTGAGTGTGTTGGCACACACCTGTAATCCCAGCACTCAGGAGGCAGAGGCAGGCGGATCTCTGTGAGTTCAAGGCCAGCCTGATCTACATAATGAGTTCCAGGTCAGCTGGGGCTACAGGGAGACCCTGTCTCAAAAAGACCAAAAAAAAAGGTAATTTTAACTCTGACTTGATGTGAACAAAAATGATTGCTTTAGGGAAAAAAATGGAAATGAAAGCAAGGAGTCAAACAGGCATGTGCACCCATGTTCGCTGTGGCCATGTTCACAGAAGTCAAAGGTGGAACAGGAGTCCACTGATGGGTGGACACATAAACAAATGCTGTATGTATATCCAACATTAAAAAGAAAGCTCTGGGCTAGGGAGACAGCTTAGAGGATAAAATGCTTGCCATGCAAGTGTGAGGGCCAGAGTTCAGATCCCAGCACCCACAGAAAAGCCAGGCAGGCTCCATGGCCTACCTGTATGTAATCCCACTGCTCAGGATGTGGACACAGGATCCCTGGGGCAAGCCGGCAGAGACTAGATCAGAGAGTTCTGGTTCAGCAAGAGGTTCTACCTCAGCAAATAAAGGGGAGAGCGATGAGGAAGACAGCTGATGTCAACCTTTAGCCTCTACATGCACACATGCACATATACGCATGCCCATACATATATAAACACACATACACACATGCACACACACACATGCACATACAAAAAGATGGAAATTCTAACACATGCTACAAAATGGAAAAGTCTTGAGGACAGTAATCTAAGTGGACTAAATCACAAAAAGATAAATATTTCACAATTCCATTTATATGAAGCACCTGGAGAAGTACAAGTCATAGTTTCAGGGACGGGGTACAGGGAGCTCCTCTGTAATGGCACGGAGTTTCAGTTAGAGAAGATGAAAAGGCTCTTAGAGACAGATGGTGGTGATGGCTGCCAGAGTACACTTTAAAATGGTTAAAATTTTCTGGGCATTGGTATTGCATGATACTCCCAGATGTTTGGGAGGCTGAGGCAGGAGGATCGTCGGAGACCACAAGTTTGAGACCAGCCTGGAAAACATATCAAAAGCCCTATCTCAAAAAAACAGAAGCAAAATGTAAAATAAAATAAGGTTAAATTTTACCATATTTACATACTTTTATGTATATTTTAGTTCAAAGGATGAAACAAAAATAGTTGAATGTGACATTCCTCCACAAGCCCCCATCTTTCAGTAGTAGTGTTTTCAGCTCTGTTGGTTTTTGTTTATTTTGTTGTTTGTTTTTGCTATGTAGCCCAGGATGGCCTGGAACCTGAAATCTTTCTTTAAGCCTACCAAGGACTGAGATTTGATTTGGCATTTGCCACCACATGGGGTCAGCTATGCTTCAGTTCTGATTATTTGCATATGTTAATTTCCTCACAGCCTCCCGTGCAGAGAACGTAGGCTTGGATATGGTGGAGCCGCTACAGGACGCAGAGCACATGTATGCAAGCAAGCAGCATCACGTGGTGGATTCAGGA